ACTGTGGAAGCAGTTTGACCTGTAGCATTAGCCACATATCGTCCTCATCATCCTCCGTCACTCCTCCGCACCCCGTTTGTCCTCCTGCGCCACCCCCCTTCTCCGCCCCATCCCCTTCCCATTTGCGGGTCGAGGAGGCAGCCAAAGTGATATTACCCTGAGCGATCTCTCCCAAGTAAGAATCATAACATATATCCAGTCAGGATACAGATGACAGCAGTACTCATCGTGTGGGGGGAGCGTCCGCTTGGCGTGTCGCTCCGCCAGCTCTGGCCCACCACGCTTCGGCGCGAAAAGCCAACCACACGTCCCAGTCCCCAGGCGTCAACGCTCCGAGCTGTGCCCAGCCTCCCGCCCCGCGAGGCGGAGCGACACGCTATCCGCGTGCAGGGCATGGCGTGTCGCCCGGGCCGCCGCCGTGGCACGCTGAGCAAAAGTTCTTGATCTGGGAAGAAGCCCGAATCTTGCTGCCAGAGGCCAACTGCGCGATCCGCGGGGAGCCGTTCAGCGGGCTGACGGGGGTGTGGAACAGCTACCTCCGAGAATACGACGGGCGGCATGACGCCAGCGGCAGCAGCCATCCGGCGTGCCTCGCGGCGAGTTGCCGCGGACACCCACGCTCCAGAAGAGAGCAGCAGCGCCAGTACGAGTTTTTTGATGCGGGGGCGCCGCCCCGCGACGATGGCAGGACAAAAAATAACAGCAGTAGGGAGTGGTCTTCCCTTGCGCGGGCGAGAACGCCAGGATGGGCTCCACGCGACTCCGCCCCCGAGCTTTTTTGCGCAGCAGGCTCGTGCCCCCCCCTCGTGGGGCGAGCGGAAGATAAGGCACGTTGCTGGTGGTTCTTTGAGACAACAACGACGACGACGACGACGACGACGACGACATGACATGACAGTCTCAGGACTCCTTCTGGGGCCCATCTTGCGTTGATTCCCATCCCGGATTGATTTCTGACGGTCTCGGGATCCAAAATGGGACTTCGAGGCCGAAAACGATTAAAATTTGCATCGAATTTCGATGCTCGATCGGTTCACGGCGACGACGACGACGACGACGACGGCGACAACGACCACGACGACGATCACGACGACGATGACGGCGACGACGGCGACCACGACGACGGCGGCGACGACGACGACGACGGCGAAGACGGCGACGTCGGCGACGGCGACGACGGCGGCGACGACGACGACGGCGAAGACGGCGACGACGGCGACGGCGACGACGGCGCGCGTACACGCCGCGGCCGGTGCGCGCCGTGGCCCGCGGGCGGCGCGCCGTCGGCGGCCCGCCGCCGCCGCGCACCGCCGACCCCGTGGCACATGCCTGCGCTCTGCCTGTCTGCGGGGTTCCTCGAGGGGCGGCCGCGCTCGGCTGCACCTGCGGTCGGGGGCTCTCTCTCGGGCAGCAGTCTGTCTTCGGTGGGCCTCCGGAGGTATCCTCGAGGCTGTCTGCGTGGTTCCTCGAGGAGCGGCCGCGCTCGGCTACACCTGCGGTCGGGGACTCCTGGGCGGTGCAGCAGCCTGACTTGTGGGCCTCTTGAGGTCTCTTGAGGCTGTCTTTGCTTCCGAGAGGAGCGGCCGCACGCGGCTGCGCGTACGGTCGGGGACTCTTTTGGTCAGTAGTCTGACTGGTAGCATTGGCCCAGAGAGACTTGCTACCAGGACTTGTGCTCGATGCCTCTTTGTCATCTTGAGGTCCCTCTTGTGCCACCTGGGAAGCTGTCATGCTATATTGGGAGCCTTTGGGGCCGCTGGTCAGGCGTCGGGTCGCCCAGAGAGACTAGGTACCAGGATGTGTGCACGCAGCCGGCTGCGGCGAGGGGTGGGGGAGCCTTGCCAGAGGGCACTGTGGCATTTGGCCGCGCCCCAACGTGTCAGGGGGCGCGGTGGCAGATTCGCCGAGAGTGCATAAACGAGTATACAACGACCGACCTTCTGCAACCAGCATGAGTTCATGCTGCGGAAGCAGTTTGACCTGTGGCATTAGCCATATATCATCCGCATCATCCTCCGTCACTCCTCCGCACCCCGTTTGTCCTCCTGCGCCACCCCCCTTCTCCGCCCCATCCCCTTCCCCATTTGAGGGTCGAGGAGGCCGCCAAAGTGATATTACCCTGAGCGATCTCTCCCAAGTAAGAATCATAACATAGATCCAGTCAGGATACAGATGACAGCAGTACTCATCGTGTGGGGGGAGCGTCCGCTTGGCGTGTCGCTCCGCCAGCTCTGGCCCACCACGCTTCGGCGCGAAAAGCCAACCACACGTCCCAGTCCCCGGGCGTCAACGCTCCGAGCTGTGCCCAGCCTCCCGCCCCGCGAAGCGGAGCGACACGCTATCCGCGTGCAGGGCATAGCGTGTCGCCCGGGCCGCCGCCGTGACACGCTGAGCACAAGCGAAAGTCGCGCACCGAAGGTTACTTTTGCCTAGGGTCACTCTTGCGTGCAGCCGACTGCACGCAGGCACGATGAAAGGCTTCGAGGTTCGAGCTTTTATT